ATTTTATTTTAATTAAATATGATATAAGAATTTATATAAAATTAATTAAAAATACTATATTTAATAAAATTTTACTTATATCCTAAGAGCACATATTAAAAATTTTTATTTATTAAATATATAATTAAAATCATTAACATGATATTGATTTAAAAAATAATTAATTGTTAAAAATTATATAAACACACACTTCATTTTATTTTATCTAAATAAATAAAATTTTGTATAAAAACAACAACGATGGTATTTGTGGCCAATGAGTGTTGAAGGAGTGGGGTTCAAATCCCTTGGAGTGCGTTCAAAATTTGTGAACCCGACAGTTTATTGGTTCAAAAATAAATGAATTTGAACGAGTTTGACTAATTTTTACTGGATCTTATTATAAATCAAGTTTATGTCATAACTCAAATTGATTTTGTGATCGATTCTGATTTAATTAGTCGGACTGATTAGTTTGATTCAAATTTTAAAATAATAAATAAATAAATAAATATATTTAATATTATAAATTTTAAATAAAAAAATTAATTATTTGAATAAACGTGCAAAGTTAAAAAAAAAAAAGTACAAAATGTATCCTAAATCATATTCAACCACCTATAGTTTTCAGCGGTGCATGTAAGGTTTCATAGTTCACAATGTACAAATACTTTTGGGTGACTACACAATATTTTTGAGCTTTAAAATATACACGCAATCAGTTAAGATCTATATATACTAGCTGTAAGAAATTATTTGAGATTACATAAAATATTATAAATGTCTTTAATGAAAAAAGAAAAAAAAGAAAAAAAAGAATTATTTAAAATATCTCATGTTACATACGCAATTCTATGCATTTAATGTAAATTTTAAAAGATTACAAGCACATTTTAAAAATTCAGGGATTATGTATATACTTGCTCAAAACTACAAGTAAAATATACAACATTTTAAAACTATAAGGGCTTATGTACATTCACTCAAAATCGCGTGTAATTCATGTGCAGTTTCACTTTTTTTATTTATTTTTTTTTTATTGTTTTGTCTAATTAAGGTTAAAATACACATATATGGTCAAAAGAAAGAAAAATATTAAATTAGAATTTATATAGCCAGATCACACATTACTCAAGTCTTCAATATTGCATCCTTCAAAGAATTTGTTAAGATTTGGTAATAAATAAATAGGGAGGAGGATTCAAAACACTTCCATAGGGAGAAGTGGGGAATTAATGGTGTGAATTAAACAACTCTTTTGGGCCAATGAAAAAAGTTTGATGCC